TGAGATAAAAAGAAGCCCCTGTCAACAAGACTAATGACAGTGCCTCTCTTTTGGCAAATAGGATGGTTAGAGAAAAAATTTAAATATTTGCCTGAGAATGTCGGTTTGTGATACCAGTCATGAATGAGTCTATTATTATGTTTTATAATTGTAATGTCCAGAAAATTAAGTCTATCATAGCCAATCTCCATGGTAAATTGCAATCGTGGGTGATAAGAATTATATATCTCCAAAACATTATCAAATTGTTGTGATGGAACCATGAGGGCTATGTCATCTACATATCTAACATGTAGAGGTGGGATAAAAGATAAAGAATTAATAGTAAACGTTTCTAGATCCTGCATGACTATATCTGCTAGAATCGGTGAGAGAGGAGATCCCATAGGGGCGCCGAATGTTTGTTTATATATTTTATCATTGAAAAGAAAAAAAGTGGAGTTGAAAATAAAATTGATTGCTGTAAAAAATTCTTCTTTAGGTAAGGAGGTACTGAGCTTTATCAATTGCCATCTCTTTTCAAGACCNTTGATAACGAGATCCAGAGGAATGTTAGTGAATAATGATATGACATCAAGAGATATCAAATCAAATGATTGGTCAAAAGTTACCCTGGAGACACGGCTAGCAAGATGAAAACTATTGAGAACAAATGTAGGTGGAGAAACAAAATTTTTTGAAATAATTTTGTGTAAAAATATTGCCAAATTGTGCAGAGGACTGTTGGTTGATCTCATCCACAATTTCACGCCAAAAACTTTAAATTAATTTTTAACATTTTAATTAATAACAATTATCCGATTGACTTCATTTTTGATACTTTTAAACAAAGACTAAAATACAATTTTTTTAAAAATAACGACATAAGAAGATTCCTGTCAAACAAATCATNGAATGGAAATCCAGTGCGTTGGTTTGTGATGCCTTATATTAACAATTTCTCTAATAAATTTGTTAATATTTTCCCGAAAGAAAATAACACTCACTTTTCTTTTTATAGCATTGACAAATTGTCCAGATTCATTAAAGTTTTAAAAGATCCTCTTCCAATATCCAAAAGATCTTCCGTAGTGTATAAAATCAATTGTTTGAACTGT